GTGGTGCCCCTCGTGCTTTTATTTCAGGTTGCTTTATTTAAAAATGTAATAACCCCCCCCCAGAACGAAGAGCGAGACATTGTCTTCACAGAAGAAAAATACAGGGTTTTTCCCAGCGTAGGAGAGTCCTCGGTCACAAAACCAGGTTTGCTCGGGCTTTGCTGGGCCCCCGACACCCGCAGAAACCGGTTATTGCTGTGCCTGCCGGGAGGCCCAAGTCCTGTCTCCCCCTGCGCGTACGGGCGCTGTCAGTCTGCGCTTGGCACCCCTCCACCCCCAGCCTGCAGCAACAACCCCCCAGACACAACCAGCCCCTGGCAGCACCGGGCTGGCGCTCCAAGGGACGCTGCCGGGCCCTGGGAAGCAGAGGGGGGACAACACCGTCCTGTCCAGCGGCCCCGCAGTGAGGGCAGCTGCCCGCTCCAGGCGGAGACAAGCGGCACAGGGGAGGGCACTGACATACGGCCAGCTGCATCCCATCCCATCCCATCCCATCCCACATTTGCCACTTCCCGCACCGCAACCTGCGCTGCGAAATACCTTGGGGTGTGGGTCTAGGAGAGCCTTCACCTCCGCCTGCCGTCCCTGAATGGGCCGAGTTCAATCGCTGGGGCAAAGTCTTCTGCGCAGCAACGCTCCCCCCAGCCTCGCTCTGCCCACCTCCAGCACGTAGCGTTCAGGCTTGTCCTGAGCAGCACAGGCCGCCGGCTGACACCCCTACACACCTCGGGACACCACAAGCCCCCGGTGGCACTTGACTGGTCTTTCCTAACACTCAGAAGCTCGTTAAAACGTTCCACATGCAGCAGCCTCACCTCCCCATCCCACAAAGGCCTTGCACCTCTTCCTGTGGCTGCCTACGGGAACGCAGGGCTTCCTTCCCGCACCCGGCAAGTTCAGCGTACGTGGCGGCGAAGGCTACAACCAACGTAACTCAAGTCCGTGACTGCAACGGGGCGTCTGAGGTGCGGCGTTACGGTGGAGTAGCAGCATTGCGTTTTAACAAGTGATGCTGGCTCGACCTCCTCCCAGCCAACGTGCCTTCGAGAGCGCGCGCTACGGACCGCGGGCCTAAGGCTACCCCCACCACCGCTCCCCGGGCAGCTGGGCTGTGCTGACGCCTTGGCTCCGGCAAGGAGCGCCGGCTGCAGAGGCGCCCGACGTCAAGAGAAGGCTCTGACAGGCTGCACCGCGGAGGAGAGGTTTGGGCTCGCCCTTCCAGGGGGTTTGGAGCACCCTAATAAACGCAGCTCACAAGGGAAGCGGCGAGGCGCGCTCAGCGCCCTCGTGCCGTGGCACAACCAGCTTCACCCAGGAAGCCGCCCCCAAGGATGAAACGTGTCAGCGCTGCCACAGTCTGCGGGAGAAAGACGGCAATTCAGGGAAAACGGAGTCCCTGCTTCTACTCCAAGTAAAAAGTGTCTTCTTAAAACGGAAACAACCCTGGACTCTCCAGTCACGTTAATACTGCACTCCTTATCCCAGCAGCAAAGGATTAGCTTCCTAGACAAGGCATTACGAAATACCTGAAGCACCCAAGATGAGTAAAATTGCTACAAAAATGCTTTCCCTCACCAGAGTTCACGCGTGTAAACCAGCTGCCTGATGAGCTTTACAAGCAACAGAGCATCCTTTTTCTTCCATAAAGCCCATCTCCTCACTTCCAGTCAGGTTCAGTATTACATCACCAGCTGCTTTACCTACAAAAATAATCTGCATTCTCATCCCCCTGAACGCGCTTGAGTCAGTTACCGGCCAGGCCGCGTCCGGCTGCCTGTCCCCCTTAAGTTTTTTTTCCTACAGCTGAGCTCTGTGGTAATTTCCCTTCCAATCCATCTGTTGAGATATTTGAGGTCAGCGTTGTGTTGGAGGTATGGCCCACCAGGCCTTGTGTTTTAAAATAGATGATATAAAACACTGGCAGGACAATTCCTATCAGGAGCATAATAAAAACGGCGTTCCACCACCGGATTCCACAGTCCGCGCCGTTACCGGCCTCCCGCTTCCCTGCCTCAGGCAGCGGCCTCTCCAGCACTTCCAGGCGGTACTCTGCGTTCAGCTGCACCTCCGCCTGCACGGCCTCCTGAATGCTCTTGTCAATCCCCTTGAAGTAGTTGCTCAGGTGCCTGCAGTCAGCAGAGCTGCTCGCCCCGTCACACGCCTCCGGCACCTCCACCAGCATCAGGCCGGCCTGGGAGGGGGCGGCAGGGAGCGGCCTCAGTTCTCCGCCGTTCTCCGTTAACAGTCCGTGGGTTTTCACCGGGATCTTGATGGACTTGAGCGCGTACAAGTCCTGCTCCCGGATGAAGTTGTTGATGCGTTTGATATCCGCAACCTACCAGGAGAACAAGAAAGGAGTATTAATGCAGGACAACACGGTACCAAAGCAGGCAGTAGCTGTGAAACCAGAGTGCAAGCAGCAGCCAGAAAATAAAAGCAAGCCCTGGGTGCAAGGGCTTAGTGCTTCCCCAGCCGTTCCTGGGATGCTGCAGGTCCCACAGGACAGACGGTCGATCCACGGTTAAACCACTCTACAGCCTCCTCCAGTGCTCTTCTCTCTCACACGCTGTATTTTGCTGAATCTTCTTTTTCCTTCCCTTCCCCTCCTCTCTCTTTCTAATCCAAGGCAAGGCAAGAAGACTCTTTACAGCAGACCCTTTTAAAACCAGTTCTCATACCTTAAACTCACTTTGAGGTGAGTGCTGAGCAGGCAAACCCCCCTGCCTGGAGGGCAGTTTCAGACTGAACAGAGCTCCACCGCCACACCGCCGTTTGGGCAGCAAGCCCCCAGCCTGGCAGCGAGCCTCTCTCCCGCACAGGCACGAGCATCCTTGGCTCACGTTCCCCAGCACAACCCCTCTCCTGCACGACAGCAGCTCCACGCCGCTCATTTCTCTGCGGTCGGCAAGCCTCCTGCTGCGGGCACGCTTAGGGCAATAAGCTCCGTGCATCCGTCATCGCCTCTGGCGATCGTGCGTAGGGTCTCCCTCTGTGACCGGTGTTCCCTCCCAGCTGATGCAAACAGCACCCAGAACAGCAAGAGACTATCCACACTGTGTAAGACACAAGGACAGCCCGTGGTGAAGAAAAGACAGAGGTGAGGCTCCTTATTTCATGTTAAATAAAAAGAAGACAGCCTAACACAGTGTGCACTGACACCACGTAGCAAGTACGTGAGCTGCTCAGCTGCCCCACATCCTCTCTCCAAGCGAACGGGGCTGTCACTGCAGGGAGCTCTCTGAAGCATCCAAGGAGGCACAAAAAAGAACCTTGAGGGAAAGGCTGGAGGAGGCAAAAGAATGGAGACAGCAGGACCCCAGCCCAACAGGGACAGGGCAGCCGCCTCCGACACATCACGCAGAACAGACGGCGCTTGCAGGGAAGGTTCGGTTTGGTCCTTCAGGCATGGTGTAAACCACCGTCTGAACTGCGTTCACACAAGCTGGAGGCACCCAACTGGGGAACTAAAACCAAGAAAGCACTTTACTTCCTAAGCAAATGCAAAGTGCCATCAGCACCAAAATCACCGATAGCAAGGGCAAAGATCTTTTAACACACCAGAAGGGAGCCTGAACATCCCTTTTGCCATTGCAACCCACACTGCAGGGAGTTCCCACAGGCCGGACCTGTGCTGGGCCACAGGAGAGGAGCTGCAGTGGCTCTGCCTGCAGAGCTGCCTCTCTGTGGATCTGCGGCCTGTCCGTACAGGCTGTCAGGGATCCACACATCAAGCACCGTGCAATCCCAGAAAGGTGGCAAGTCTGCTATGTCAGCCAGAAGGACTCTGCTGAAGGGCAGAGCTGAGATCATAGAATCATAGGATGGTTTGGGTTGGAAGGGACCTTAAAGCCCCCCCAGCCCCACCCCCTGCCATGGGCAGGGACACCTTCCACTAGACCAGGTTGCTCCAAGCCTCATCCAGCCTGGCCTTGGACCCTCCCAGGGATGGGGCATCCACAGCTTCTCTGGGCAACCTGTCCCAGTGCCTCACCACCCTCCCTGTGAAGAACTTCGTCCTGATATCCAATCTAAACCTCCCCACTTTCAATTTAAACCCGTTACCCCTTGTCCTGTCACTACAGGCCCTATGATGAATGCCCGAATCCCACGTTTACTCTGCAAAGCTTGTGAAGTCTGCAAGTGTCACCTAGATCCGGAATCTGGTGCCCCTGAGGCATGGGGAATCCACAGTTGCTGGTTCAGACTCCTCACAACTTGCCCCAGCGTGACAGCAGGACTTAAATCCTGCAAAATTATTGAGTTATGGAATAACAATCTCACTCCTAACTGAGGTGAGGCTTCAAGTTTTTGTTTTGTTCCAACAAAAGCAAATTATTGGGACAGTAAATATCCCCTGCAGTGTCTGCCATCAAACTGCAGTGTTGTGCTAAGGCTCTAGAAACAGAAAGTGGAGCAGCACTCCTGCAGAAACAACAAACAAAGCTGGTGGGAAGCACCCGAGAGCCCTCGGCTGCACAAGCCATTTAGGCTTATTCTCTCTGCTCGTATTTTTGGCTGCAGTGAGCTCCTCTTGTCCCAGCTAAGAACAATGCCAAAAGCAGGCCAGGACTATAAATGGTCAAGAGTAAAAATGAGAATTTTCAAGTGCTTCGCACCTCTGCCAAGTTATCTGTAGCACACACAAAGCTATTTTTTGTGCTGTCCCGATAGCCCCTCCCCAAGTAGGCCCTGATGATTCTGAAACCAATGACAAGTTCTCACTGATTTCAAGCAGCAGCTCATCCTGGACTTTTTTAAACACAGTTGCATGTATTTGTGGCTACAAATCTTCTTCACTGATGTCCTGGTAGCCTTTCAGGAGCTGCTTAATTGTGCAAGTACAAGAAAACACATGAAAATTGATCAGTGCCAGTCTGCAGACAGACAAATACACAAATCTCCGATAAGAAGGATTTCTGTACCTCTTCAATTTAACTGAAGAAGTCAGAAGTGCCCTTTCTGGAAAGAACTGAGGCAGCAGGGCAGGGGTTTTTCCCGGTGGGAGGAGAACACTGACCACCTGGTGCCTCCCCATCAGCTTGCTTTCCCCACCTGACAAGCCCAGCAGCCTTCAGCATGGCAGGCAGATCAACAGTCATGGCAGGGACAGGACTGAGTCCTCATGAGCTACAGCACAGGGACCACGGCAGGACTTCCCATGCCCTGAACCAAGAATCTTCCTTCTTAGGGATCAAACTGCTGTGATTTGGCCCAGTGGCAGTGACAACACCAACTGCTACTGCTCAGCGATGAGCACGCAGTTGTGACTACAAGTCAAGTGCTGTAGCGCTGCATTCTCATGCTCTACCGGGGCCAATCAAGGCCTATTCAAGTGCTACCAGACTCGCTTCTCCACACGCATCAGGCTCGTCAGCAGAACCTAGAAGCATTGCTTTTTTGTTTTGTTTTTGTTTCTAAGGGAATGGGAGGGGAGGAATTGTCGCAATTCCTCTAAGCCCTCTTGCTTCAGCTGCACCACACAGCTGTTGTGTTGTTAAGCAAGAGACTGCAATGGTATTGCAGCAGTTGAGCCAGTACTGTATCATTATCCCCATCCAGGTCACCATCCAATCTGCATCATGGAACTTTTTAATCACAGTCTAGCTCGCAGATAAAGGAGGGTCTAAAAATACAGCTTTGACTGCTAAACAACAGGGTACTTCTAATGTTCAGGTAATTAAACTTTTCAACAGTTTCTCTGTAAAGTGCTCTGCTTCGGAACAAAGACGACGCGTTCTGCAGTTTGTTCCAACCCCAGCGCA